ATAGAGCTCTGAATGAAGATCCCGAGAATCAGAAGAGAGGAGATAGTCGAGAATCGCGCTAGGGCGTTAGTCACCTCTCCTAGTAAGGCCTCTTGTCTCAACCGAGACCGGAAGGGGGCCCGTCCACTATATTTCTCTAATCCCATGTAGGACATCCGCGGACTATTCTGGGTTATTTCAGTTTTTAGGGTATCCGAAGAGAAATCCGGGCTCGCGGTTAGTCGGTCCGATAGGGAAAGGGGTGGGGATAGACTGAGGGAGAAACCAGTGAATACGTGGACTGGGAGAATGGGTTTTATATTACATCAATGTGCTATACTAAACGTTCGAAATGTTCAGAACAAGTGATTTTACGGGATTACTGCTGTCGTCGAAAAGCTTAATTGCACCCTCTCACAGAAACTGTCCTAATTTACACCCCCTACATCGCTCGTCCACCGGGAAATGTGCCTTTTTATTGGCTCCTGCCTGTAGAAAACCTGTCACCGACCTAAGCAAGACATTGGTAGGTTAACCGTGCATGGGATATGGTAGCGTAGATCGCTATTTCGGGGGAGGTTACTGGTGGCCACCACTGAAGACTACCATCAGTGACTCCCGGCTCCTCCAAAGTTGAATATCCGATAATGGGTCCAGAATAAGCCTTCCTCCACCCGATATTCTAGAAATCCAGCTTATCTTTCAGCTTGGCCACAGCTAGCTCGATACCCGGTGGAGCCAACCATCATATAAATAGATAACGGAGAATCAGTTCTCCAGCTCTCCAGTTGATCCAATACAGCATTTTGAAGCTTTCTCTACTAATGGCGGTAGTGCTCATGCCAGTTCGCCATCCATCCTACCGGCCTAAATCTCACGTCCAGAGTTTCGGCTTTATGAATCTGGCGGCGAGGGCCCTCCGGACGGTGATTACGATAGGGTGCACGAATTAATCAAAAATCTTCAACGCCAAAAAGTTGGTCCCAGGTGGAAACTAGGAGTGAGGAATGCCACTATAACGGATATGGGTATGGGGCGAGTGGAGTTTTGTAAAAAATCCAAGTCGTGGTCAGTGCCCCATATGTCTCTAACCAAACTCTATTACTTACTTCCTAACTAACTATTGAAGCTTACGCTTGATAGATGCTGGCAGCATATATGCTATGAAAACCGAAATAACTGAGGGTGGCGCTAGGATCTCCACAATTTTCCTCTTCAGATTAGGGGGAAAATATAGCACCCGGACCACCCTCATCCCTCAATTAAGGCAACAGACCTTACTAGGAGAGGAAACTCCAACGTCCCAGCACGGTTCTCAATTATTTCGGTCCCCACAGTAATGCTCACACGAAAAAGCTTTGGGTCTCCTGCACCAAAAGCCCTGTAGCTTGCCCAACACGGGTATTCTCTATTAATGATGAGAAGTCATCTGAATAGGATGCATGAAGCAGGCCTTATACCCAATTCCGAAATTTGAATTAACCCTATGGAGCAGATGAAAAAACTTTGACTGCCATGGGTCCTGTTGGTATGGCTCCTTTTCAACCCTGGTTCACAAATTAGAATGTGTGCCAGGAATCAATTCATACAAGTTGCCAAATTTAACTTGCAGAGAGCTTTGTAAGGCCATGAAAAATTCTATATACAATCATACTCTGACGGGTGGGTCCAATGACTAAGATACGATTACGTGCCGACGGATGCTGGATCTGAAGAAAATAAAAATAAAAATGAACAGAGCAAACAAGACCATGGACGATGCATCCCCCTAATAATAGCCCTCCATGAACCGGTAGCAGCGGCCTTCTTCCGCTTGAAAAATAGAAGGAAAGGTGTGGGTGAACAAATAGAGCAAAATGGAAATGGAGCCCCAATGACTAAGACTAGACCCGACTAGCGAATGAATAAATTGGCAAGCCAACGTGACACTTCCCTCCTTTTCCAGACTCCTTTCATCCCTTCCCGCTATCTCCGGAGCAACTCTCAACCCACTCCTGCTATCAGCGTCGCTTAACAAGTTCAGAGATTGGTAATAGTGTGGATGTGTCCCCAAACCCCACCGTATACTAGGAGCGGAAATATCCAATGTTTATCTCAAAAGCGGGTAATAAGAATAAGGATAATAGAGATTGGGCCAAACAAGAGTTAATCCATGTAAGGTGTTGAAGTGGAACACTCAGTACGCATCGAAAACTTTTGTAATGTGGGATGAATGCGTTTTTTTAGGGTCTTGGGCTGGGTGCAAGATAAAGGAAATGGAGTGATAGTGGGTCTGGAGGGGCCGGGTGCACGGCGGGGTCACAGAACGAGGTGTGCATATTCGAGTGAACCCGGCATGAGGTAATTCGAAATTTTCAAAAGAGCGGCGGAAGTCTTCCGGGGTATTCGGCGGCAGAAGACTAGGGGGGATCAAGGAAATGGGTAGTTTGTTTGGGGTAAGTTAGAGTACTCTCGTGGGGCGGCAGACTGCCGGGAACGTGGCGTGAACAGGCAGGAGTTGGGCTTTCTTGTAGGCGTCGTATGAAATACCGGTACGAGAAAGAGCGACTGAATACAGGATAGGAGAGGGGCAACTACAAGAAGCGGTGGCATCTTTAGGAATAGAATATTTGGGTATTTGAACACTTGGGAGTCTCTAGTTGGATGAGCTACTTGTGCCATCTGCCGAAGCAGCTGCATCGGGAACTGCGCCGTGTGTAAGGAGGAGCTGCACAATTGATTCATGACGTAATGCTTTCGCTGCTAGTAGTGCATTGGCGTAACGGCCACCCTGAGCATTCACATCTGCCCCACGCTCGAGGAGAAGCCGCACAATCGGTTTGGTTCCATTTAATGCAGCTGCTTGTAGTGCATTCATATAAAGGCCACCCTGAGCATTCACATCTGCCCCACGCTCGAGGAGAAGCCGCAC